AATGCCTTCTTGAATGGTGACTTGGAGGAGGTGTGCATGACCCAACCTCCTGGTTTTTGAGTACAGTGAACAGAAAGTATACAAATTGAAAAAGTCTCTATATGGTCTAACACAATCACCAAGGGCTTGGTTTAGCAAATTTCATCAAGCAGTTCAAAACAAATGGGTCTCAAACAATGTCAAACTAATCACACCCTCTTTGTGAAGAAAGAACAAGGAAGAACAACATCCTTGATTGTTTATGTGGATGACATAGTTACCACTAGTGATTAGGTTTTAGAAATTTAGAGGGTAAAGAAGTTCTTGGCCACTCAGTTTGAGGTGAAGGATCTAAGACCCCTACGTTACTTTCTTGGGGTTGAAGTTGCCCACTCCCAACCAGTGTTTTAAAAGGCATGGGAGGTGTACGCCTGGAGGCGAGGTTCTCCCAAAACGCCCTGAGTCGTATGCCAGAGGCGCTGACACATCTGAGGCATACGCCTCTTGTGCTTTTTTCATGAGGCATACGCCTCATGCACATTTGATATAAAAAGACAGAAAAAAAAAAAAGGAAAGAAAATGAAAGGAAAGGGAAGGGAAGAAAAGATAAGGGGAAAGAAAGTGGTTTGCCCCCCTTTGAACTAATGTTATGCATTTTTATTCTTCTTAATATAAAAGGTTTTTTATTAAAAATAAAGAAAAAAATGAGATCCCCCCTTTCCTCTTAAGGAGGCGTAAGCCTCCTTGTGTTCGGGAGGCTTACGCCTCTTGCATTCTGAACTACGCCTCACACATCTAGGTAGTGGAACGCCTCGCGTCACGCCTCCACGTTTTAAAACATTGCTCCCAACAGGGTATCTTCATCTCTTAAAGTAAGTATACCCTAGATCTCCTAAAAGATACAAGAAAGCTTAGGGCTAAACTAGTTGATACACCTATAGATGTAAATAACCAATTTGGGGACTGCAATGATAAGCCCATAAAAGATTCAAAGGAGTACCAAGACTTGTGGGTAGACTCATATGTTAGACAGTGAATGCCCTTGCTCCAATTAGATTGACGTACAGATACATTTATTATAAATGAATAAAAGTACATTATTGTTTCATGTTGATATTAGTATGTTTTTGTGTAATTACCCCTTAAACTGGACACTTATGAGATTCGTATTAGTTTAGAATGTTCTCAGCAATTGGATAGACTTGGGGAGTTTATACTACCAAGGGACACCGATGTGCTACCAAAGAAGTTGGGGCAGTTTGTCTCAGCTGCTAGGGTTAGACCCAGAGCACATGCGGTGTGTGTTTGGATGAAACACTAAACCCGGACCATTTTCCAGTTATGCCATGGACTTTGGAGATTGATGGGCAAAACTGGAAAGTTACAAATAACCCCTAAACTTGATTATGGTACTGCACTAGGTGTTGGATTAGATTGTCTTTGATATGCCAATCAATGAGATCCATCAAGGATCAAAACCTGAGTGTGTTGGGGCAGTTTGAGAATTCATCTGAGTGGGTGATTATAGTGATAGGATCGGCTCCTTTGTTGGACAAAGTGAATGATATGACATACACTCTCTTTGATGGAAACCTAAACTGCCGGCAGTGGATTTCAATTGTGTTTGAGATTTGGTTTTGCAAAATATATTTATATGATATATATTATGTTTTATGAAAAATGTTTGCAAAAAGTTTTAATTCCCGGGATCCATCGGAGCAGAGAGTGTGACACTATACCTTGCAGCCAGGGGAGAGGTCCTTCCCTATCGGGCAGTGTTGTGATCATTATGCGCCAAGAGGTTAAGTGTAAGAGACCATTAAGGGATGATTACCTGATGGGCTTTATCTTACTTAAGTCCATCATCCTTGGGTTTTCATAGGATGGCTGAATTCAAAGATCATTTAAGTGTAAATGTTGAGTACATATTGAGCCCATAGTGATGTGCTCATGGGTTCACTGCGTTTAGTAGTGAATTCAGCCAAGCCCTTTGACAGAGGCTGGGCCGAACCCATGTGGACTTATGTGAGGTCATTGTAGGGTCCCACGCCATACAAATCAGGCCTAAGTTGGCCATGCAATATCTTGGGTCGTGAGGAGTCCGGATCTCCTGCCCACAAGAACTCTGCCCACGTTTATCGCAACCATATATGCAAAACATCTCATCCTCTACATAGTATTATGCAAGGGGAGATGTTCCCAATTCACGGGGGGTAGTTTATTGTGGGTAGGTGTGAGCAGAGTTCTTGTGGGTAAAAGATCCAGAGTCGGTCATGAGCCTTTGAAGGAAATGATCCTAAGGCCCATAATTAATAAGACCAAGGAAGTTGCCTTGTCATGTGCTCTAGGTCAAATCTGGGTTTGGAAATGGGTATGGAGCACCCATCCTCTTAAGAGGATAAAGTTTATCTCTTAATAGAGTCCACATCCAAATTAGATTTGGATAATCTCCTAATTTGATTGGGAGAGTGCTCCATAAGGAGATAAAAGAAGAAGAGGGTGAACCAGACTAAAACACCACTCTCTCTTATTCTCTCTTCTTCTCTTTTGTCTTTCAAGAAACCCTATCACGACCTAGGCTTTCAAGGACTGATAGAGATCAGTTTTCTTCTGATTTTTGCAAGAAAAATTCAAAGGAATTTCAGGCTCACCTTTCCCAGTTCGATCCAAGCAGTTGGGTTGCAGTTTTGCTTAAAATTGTATTGCTGAATCGACTTCACCTATGCACTATGCCATCTTCAGTGGAGGCTGGTTTTAGAACTGATTTGGGCATGAACTTCCACCTCGGGATCTGCGTTTTAGGTATCCGTATCAGGTATAAATCTCCCCCTTTGTTTGGTTTCAAATCAGGTCCAGTTCAGTGCAAGACTGATCCTAAAAAATGCAATTTTTCAAAACATAGGGAATTCGATTCCTAAAAGGATTAGGAAATTTTTGAAATTTCGCCCATCCATCTAGCATGGTTCAGCCATCCATATGATGGACCCTAACCCTTTCCAACATCATATACTTATCTATGACTAGGCCAGATATTGCATATGCAGTAGGAGTCCTTCGTTCATGCATGCTCCCAAAGCGGCAGACTGAGTTCTCAAGTACCTAAAGAAATTCGATTCCTAAAAGGATTAGGAAATTTTTGAAATTTCGCCCATCCATCTAGCATGGTTCGGCCATCCATATGATGGATCCTAACCCTTTCCAACATCATATACTTATCTATAACTAGGCCAGATATTGCATATGCAGTAGGAGTCCTTCGTTCATGCATGCTCCCAAAGCAGCTGACCGAGTTCTCAAGTACCTAAAGAAATTCCTAGGGACAAGCCTTTTCTTCAAGAAGCATGGACATATGAAAGTTGGGGTTTACACTGGTGCTGATTGGGCAGGTTCTGCAAATGACAAAATCCACAAGTGGCTATTGTACCTTTGCAGGGGGAAATTTTGTTTCTTGGAGAAGTAAGAAACAAAGCGTGGTGGCTAAATCTTGTGCGGAATCAAAGTACAGAGCCATGTCTAATGGAGTTGCTGAAATATTATGAATTAAAAACCTATTAGGTGAGCTGGGGTTTCCCCTGCGGTCCCATGTCACTCTACTGTGATAATAAGGCTGCTATCATATTGCAGCCAGTCCTGTTCTCCATGATAGACCCAAGCACATTTTAGTAGATAAACACTTTATCAGATAGAAACTAGAAAAGGGAGAAGTGTGGACTCCATATATCAACTCCGAAGAGTAACTTGAAGATGTTCTTACCGAGGGATTGAACTCCTTGCAGCACTATGATCTTTGTGACAAGTTGGGGATGATTTTTTTATTTTTTGAAGGATAAAAAGGAAATTTCATTAAACTGAAAAAGGGCATTACATCTGAAAATGATGGTCGCAAGTTGACAAACCAAATACATATCAAATATAAAACTGAAAAGGAATCAGTGTTACAAGGATGCAAATCAAGAGTGCTCCAGGAATTCTCTAACAAATCAGTCTTATTCACTTGATCAAACTCTGGAAGACTAAGAGCCCAAGCTGTAATCAAATTGTCCACTCCTGCTACCAGGTATTCAATACTTTGACTCGTCCTAAAAAACCCTTCTGTTTTTCTCTTTCCAAATGGACCAGCATACTGAGAATAGAATACAGCTCCACATGATTTTAACTTTCTTGCTTCCTCTGATTTTTGGCCATTTGGAGAATATCTTTGCTGGAACCAAAGGATGAAAGGCATTCACTCCCTTTGTAAAGTTGGCGCTGCCAGACAAGTTTTTTTTGCCTCCTTAATCTTCTTCTTCTCTTCTTCCTCTCTTCTCCCTCCTCTTCTCTTCCCCCTTCTTCTTATTCTCTGAAATCAGAGGACTTGGCTTGAGAGAGTTTGAGGAGAAAGAATTCAAGGAGGCTGTTTTCAGTATGGATGGATATAGAGCTCCTAGGCCCGACGGGTTTCTCATCCTCTTTTTTCAGACATGTTGGAATATTATAAAGCTAGACTTAATGGAGGTTTTCAGAGATTTCTACCAGTCGGCTGTTCTGAATAAAGGCAACAACGCTACCTTCATTTGTGTTATCCCCAAAAAAGGTGGTGTTCTGGAGGTAAAGGACTTCAAGCCAATAAGTTTGGTTGGGAGTATCTATAAAATTTTGACTAAGGTTTTGGCAAGGAGGGTTAAGGGATGTGCTAGGGGATTTAATCTTATCCCAAACAATATTCTTTTGTGAAAGGTCAGAAAATTGTGGACTGCATCCTAGTAGCAAATGTGTGTGTTGAAGATGGAAGGCAAAATGGAAAACCAAACAATAAGTTCGGTTGGTTTTATTTATTTATTTTTTATTTTTTATTTTTTATGCCTTACACAGAATTTCTGTATAGTTTCTGGCTGTACATGATGCATATATGATACACACTTGTAATATGAGTTATTACATTTTTTAATACAATACAATACTTAACCTTTTCTCAAAAAAAAAAAAAAATCATAGCTGATATCATACATGTGAAAACATAGATTTAACAAATAACAACTTACAGGAGTTGGAGCTCCATGTTTCTGCTTGCAATGACTAGAGCCTTGGGGCTGTGACCGGAAGGCCAGATGAGATATTTGTTGTAGAAACTCTTGGATATGATTATAGGTGCTGCATATACAGAAGAAATGTCAGAAAGAGTTTATCTTGGCAGAAATATAAATGGAAGATATGAACCCCAAAGGTGGGCAAGCAGTTGATCTCTAATTAATGTAGAAGAAAAATAGTCCTTGAGAATAGAGGACTGTTTAGAACAGATGCAGAAATCAAAAGAAAACAGCAGAAATCCTTCTTCTAAGGAAGAGAAGATGAAGAAGAAGATGGCGGCAATAAGGGTTCAGAGGAAGAGAGTTTCGAACCTTAATCTCTCTTCTTACCCCCTAACACTATTTTATTAAGTTAAACTTT